TCAGATAAAATAAAAGAAGTATTTATTGCAGGTAACTCAGTTAATGATATTATTATGGAAAACGAAATAATCGAAGAACAAAATGAAAATTATGCGAACTCAAGAGGTATATATAAATTTTTTTTAAAACAGAAAATAATTAGATCATATATGTATTATATATCTTGTACTTATAATATGTTGTGGCGGTCACCGCCTCTCTGGCCCATCGACAAGCGCGTCGGCGCGCGCTGCCGCGCGCCGACACTGTCGGCCCGCGCACGGGATCCACGCGCTCGCCACGAGATGGCCAACCGTTTGATCATCCTCGTGCGCGGAAACCGTCTTTGGCGCTATATAAGAGCGGCCAGCACCGCCGTTTGGCACTACCCCCTTAGTGCGCACTGGAGCCCGCGCACGGCTTAAGCTAGCACTGAGGATTGACCGCTTGTAGTCATTATACGGCCCTTTTTACACGGCCGGCGTTACCGACCACTATTGGTCGTATTTCCCCCTCAGTGGCCGCGCACGCCATCGAGGATTTCCTCTACCCTCCGACGCGGCCGTACACGCCGTTGATCGAGACTCTTGGCACACCCGCCGAGAGGCAACCGATCGCGCCGCTTTCTCCGCTACTGGAGGAGAGCCACACCGCGGAGACGCCACCGGAGTACGCCGCCCCGGGACCAGGACACCGTCACCATGTCGGGACTGCCGCCGACCTCGTAGCCGCATCCGCCCGTGCCCGAGCAACCTGCTGGCAGCCATCACCGCGGGGAGACCTACCCCCGCTGTCGCCAGGACCAGCGCCGAGCGGACTTCTCACCGGCTAGGAGGACTGCGAGACACCGCGGCATCAACTCATCCCGGATCATCGGCGACTTCGCGCCGGCCAAAGCCTACGTCGCCTCGCAGACGGAGGCCCCGCAGCACGCCGGAGGCTTGCTGACGACTCGCGCCAGGACCACGCACCACGGCTGGTGCTCGCGAGAGGCGAGCACAGCGCTTCCGCGAAGAACCGCGCGATTCCGTCACACCAGGCCGCACGCCAACCATACGGGGCACGCAAACCCCCGCGTCACGCCCGTGATATATCCATTCTCTTTTTTGTAATTATACGTAGAAAATATATAATGAGTATTTAAAGATCGCCTCATTTAAATTTTGAGAACCTGCACGACCTTTCATTTCCCTCTCGAACCTGCCGCCATTTTCCGCTTCGCCTGAGCGTGGACTGGGGCGTGCAGGGAGGTACAACGAGTTGGTTTCATCAAATCCGTTCAGACATCACAACTATCATCACAACAACCCGCATAGGCGACACACGCCACATTGGTGACACACAACCCATAATGTATTTAATAAATGTAAATGTATACAGTACCGGTCGTGGGGATTCGAAAGAATACATGTATATATGTATATTGTAATATATATATATATGTATCATTGTATTGTTGACGTGTTATTCTAAACACGTTATTTGCGATAAATATCACATGCCTCGGTAGTCGAAAGGATAAGATGCCTGCCCGGTAAGCAGGAGATCCAGGTTCGATTCCTAGCTGAGGTGATATTTTTTCGCAAAATAATTACGAGTTTTTATGACTGGTTCGTGGTCGGGCCCCGTCGTGACGCACACCCTCCCTTCTTATTTTTATATATGTAATTTAAAAAATTGCTGTAATAATTTGTTACATGTAATTAATACAAAAAATCCCATGTATCATTGGTTTTAATATTACTAATATTGATATTAAAAATTTTCTTAATATAAATCAAATGCTTACTTGTGAAATATTGTAAATATTTAAATATATTATCCTTATTTACAAAATTACAGTAAATATTAAACTAGCATTGCTTATACTAATTTGGGACGTTACTTCTTTATAGTTTGCTATTTATGAAATGAATATTTCCTCGCTTGAATTAAATATTTTCTCAACAAAATATTTTATAATATTAATGTTATAAATTGTGTTCAACAATAATAATAATATTTACAATAAAAATTAGCATGAATTATTTCTAATACTTTTATTTTCTACTCATTATTTATTTTGAATTTTTGTATGCATTGTTAGTG